CGTCTTGAAATACTTCAGTATATTGTCTTATAGTTGTTTTTCTTTATCGACCCTATCTATAGATCGGTAACTAAGACAAGATTGAAAATAACACTAAATCAGGAAATTTGACCATATCAGTCACTGTTTTCGTGCATTCAGATGACTGAATATTGATTTGAAGTGTAAATATCATTTTCTTATTTCTGTTGATCGTTTATTGATTACATCAATTCCAATCTATTTGAGAAACAAATTAATATTCCGTAACCAACAACATAATGTGAATGTAAGAGGAAACAACTCATTGCATATACCGCTTTGTCCGACAGCATTATACCAGAATTTTTTTTCATATAATGCTGTGAATTTGTACAATTCTCTTGATTCCTCTATCAAAATTGATGTTATTTATTCTTTCAAAAAACGTCCCAAAAAATATTTATTAATGGAACAGAATGCTATTCAAGATCATTTTCAATTATAATGTATCATATATTTAATTGCAAGTTATCTTCATTTAATGATTGAAGTTAGTTTAGTTTGTGAATTATGTATATGAATATGCAGGGTTAGGTCTAATTGTAGCCATGATGGCTAAACTTCGCTCTGTCATATGTTTGTATAAACATTTATACAAATGAAGACGTTTATTACATTATTATTATTATTATGCCTCAAAGTGAAATTGACTCAAATTCACACTTCATCGGGCGTGACGGCCAGACCACTTCAAGGAAGCATGATCGGCGATCAATGTAAAATCAACTCCCTCAATGTAAGGTCTTAATTTTTCACAGGCAAAAATTCAAGCAAGGCACTCTTTCTCTATCGTGGTGTAGATTTTTTCACACCAAGAAAGCCTCCTAGAATCAAAAGCAATGACTCTCTCACCACCATCATGAGCCAGAGTGAGTATGCAGCATCGACTAGGTATATGTCCGGCACAACTTTTTGAAGAGCTTATGTTGTGGAACGGTTTTTCCTAAAACCAAATTGACCAGGAAACAGTGCATTTTCTTTCAGAAAGTTATGAAGTTTTTCCTTCAGAATTATTTCTATGATTTTGCCGATAATCATAATCATCATCAATGCTTCTTTTTTTCAATACCGGCAAAACAACAGTATATTTCAAAGCATTTGGAAAACTTCCAACAGAGAAACATTCATTCATCAAAGTAGCTGATGTTCGGCAAGGATTTAATTATTCTGCTATTGAGTTCATATGCATCAAAAGCATTGGATTTCTTGAGACCAAGTATAATAACATAGATATCACTAGGAGTCACTGAATTCAGGAAAAAAGAATAAACTGGAGTTTTTGTTTCTCTTAAATCAACTGTGTGTTCATGAGGAATGTTATGCAGTGAGCTTTCAATCTTCTCAGCAATTGAAGTGAAGTATTTATTGTATTGTGACACCGATATTATTTTCTCAATCGTTATTTCATTCCTATTTCCTTCATCATTCATCAAATGCCAACTGTCCCTCATGATGTTAGTTGAGTTCAATAAAAATTTATTGTCGGCTTCTGTTTTACAAATTTTGATTCGAGTTATGTATTCTTTACTCATATTTGTATGCATTCAAAGAACAATCATCTTTTTCAACATCATGTATGGTTTTGATAGCATTCAGAGTATCACGCACTGAGGCTCAACTGATTCTTTGTTCGCTACTCGAAGTGTCCTATCGAGGGCGCTGTGTAAGGTCCGAGTTTTTCATAAGATTCTTGGATTTTCCATCAAGATTCATGGTTCTTGAGTCGCAAGAGCTGAACATTTGTAGAATGAGACAATGATCTTGTGGCAAGAGGAAATTATTCCAATTGGAAGAAATTCCTTTCAAGAGAAATTTCAGAAAATTTCAAGAATCATGGATTTCTCAGAACAAATAAATGTTCCTCCATGCGAGATATTTACTCCTTGCATAAGAAAATGTGGAGCAAAAGCACAAAATACCTTTATTCAGATAAATCTGTTTTTTCAGTGATGAATCAACTCCTACACGGAAAACGCTATTTGGTTTATCGAACCATTCCACAGGTAATTCTCATCCTTCAGGTTGGGAAAGTAGAATATATATAAGTTCAGGCAAAGCTACTGTGTTAGCGGAACATGTCATGTGACTAAAAATTTTGTGGAAATCTAATGGTTTGTGAAGTTTTTACATACACCACCTCTTCTCCCTGTCATCCCTATAGATACGCGCGATGTTCCACGAACATTATAGGAATTCCCTTCCGTGCGCACAAAGAATTGGAGAAAAAGTAGTATTGATATTTACTGCATATCTTTATTCACCTCCAAATTGAAGTTGAAGAAATATTTCTTACATAAAATCACATGATTGTTCACCTTAACTATGATATTTACTCATTACAAGATTCGGAAACATAGTGTCAGGGGACACTCTCTTGGATTGTGAACCTCTGTTTGTAATAAATGAATGAAATGAATGAATATCATGTAAACTTGTGAAACTAATACAGGGTGAGTCATGAGGAACTGTACATAGGTACTTCTACCGTCTTCTCCCCCTACTCAACTAATATATAGGCTGATTTTTGGTATTTGGCAAGAATATCTTTTGGTCATAACTCCAACATCTTCGATTAGTCTAAATCATCATCGGAACATTTTTCTTCGAGTATCTAATCGACTTATTAATTCAGAATCGGGAAAATCAAGGACCGTTCGTTTTTGCACAGATTCATCGTATTTTCAAAAATTCAGTGAAAATGTGAGGAACATTTCGAATATTTTATTTTGGATGCTTGTTTGTGACCATTGAGAATTCTTGTCACAGTTCACAAAGACCATGTACACAGGATGAACATTTTGATATGAACCAAACTAGTGAAATTTATCAAGAACGGTCCTAGATTTTCCCGATTCTGGATGAGTCAGTCGATTGGAGGGTGGTAGTTAAATATTCCATGGAAAAATAAGACGAATCGAAAAGGATGTTAAAAAGTTATGACCAAAACGTGTTATTGTCAAATCTCATGATTCACCCTATATATTGATGAAGAAGAGGAGAAGACACTTTTTAAGGGTCATTAGGTATTTCTCTTATGAACCTCTATTCGTGGTAGGAATATGTACAGTTCCTCATGACTCACCCTGTTTCTATTTGTAATCGGTAATAAACTTTATTATTGATATTAGTGTCATTATCAATATTATTATTATAAATCAAAACACGAATCAGTTGGCTCTGCCAGATGATGATCTTCTTCTTGAGATATTCCCATGTTGTGGATTTGGGCAGATCATCACGTCATCTGCTGGTGCACCATCCAGAATGCTCCTAGTAATTCGGTCGAATAATATGGTAGTAAATTGGTCGTCAATTTGCGGGCGGATATTCTCAATAATTCGTGGATATAAATCATTATTAATCCTCCCCAATATGTTTGCCCTTCTGCGATCTGATCCGCCTTGGAGGTTTTGGAAATCGAAGTGACCTGTTTGGTAATTTCCCAACTGTTCGGTGTACAATACATTCCATACTTCCCTCCCATTTCTTTCCATTCTAGTCAAGTTGACGTAGTGTCTGAAAATCTGGTTGACTGAAACAAAAGACAGAAATGTTATAAATTATTTGTAGGTATACAAGGTTTTCACATGTACTCAGAACGTGTCAGAACCTCCCTCAACGGTTTTATATATTTTTGTCAAAATGCGTAAATATAAAAAAGATTCAGTAATTCAGTTTCTGTTCAACAGCGCTGTTTTATTCTCGAAATAATTACCCAATTGAGAAAAATACTTTGGACCACCACAGACTGATACGTGTTAACGAATTCTTATTTACTGCCTTATTATCTTGATTGTGCATTATTTGAATTTGTATGTTTAAGAAGCGAACTGAAGAAATTCGTTCACGATATGCACAGAGAAGAGGAAAAAGAATGTTTCAAACAAGAAAAATGTTGTAAATTTAACAAAATCTGAATGTGGGAAAAGCAGAATATGAGTTGAAAATGACACTGTATATATTAACCAATGGGGAAAGTGAATATCGATGAAAATTCACCTTTAATATTCCATTTCCAGACAAATGAATATTTGGTAGCTGCGAAACCGTAGAAAAGCCACTGTTGTGCGTATTTTATTTTCTTCATTCAGACTTTCTTCTTGTTATTCATACTTTCTTCTCTGAATTCAGAATTTTTTCTTTGAATTCATATTTTGCTGAATAGAGAGACCAATATAATGAAAAACATACAACAATGTCCTTCTTACGCTTTTGTACGATCGTGATTTTTTGACGTTTACTTGTGAAAGACACATACACCTATGATAAGAAGTTTGAATTCATGAAAATAGTCTGAAGTCTGACAACAAGTGTTATCTCTGAAGATTGTTCCACTTGGTCCGTGAGTGTATCATTGGAATCTCTATAACAGTTGCGAACCTATGAATCTAACCTCCATGATTATTACGGAATATACGAAGGTGCAACCATGAATAATGTGACACAACGAATATATTTTTGCAAATATTTATTGGGTTGTGAAAGAAAAAGGAAAGTTAATTCAATATTTGAAATCGGAACGTTTGAGACTGTTCCATAAGAATAAATATAATTTTATATGGATAAACGTTTGAAATTTGTCAATATTCCTCAACCGAAAGTACTCAGAGAATGAAAACGAAATCAACAATTTCTCAATTTTCCTCTGTATCTCTGAAACGAAAGAAGATATCAAAATTCCAATTATAAGATTCACTTCCTGTACCAATCTATCAGGATGTTGTTATTGTTATAGTCGCGAATGAACTTTGTTTAAAGGAATGGTAAGGAGCAATTATTGTCATCTTCATTCGCAATAGCGAATTTCATTTTCGTTTCATAATTATTATTGACGGTAGAAAGAATCTCGTCAATATCATATTTTCTGGTTTTACATCGATGATACCATTGATGTATTTTTCATTGAAATATAAGATATGTAACACTGTATCTGACAAATTATAACTTCCCCAGTTTTCTTACATCTCTTTGATACTTACGGAATACGATGGTAGATATGCCCGTTTCGTTTATCTTCATAACTCTATCAGAACCTGAGCATGAAGGTTCTCTGATATATCCGATTGCGGTATAGCTGGCAATATGCGTGAGCCTTGGGTTATGATTCTCGTAATCTATGAAAGTATTGTTTCCAGAAACACTCCATCTGAAATAACACAAGCTTTTTAGTTTCACTGTCTGGTCACTCATGAATATTCTTGCGTTCATCATACCAAAGAAAACCTTAACACTTTTATTCATGCGCCCTTTGGGCACTTTCTCGAATGGGAGTGAACCGGCTAACTCGCGTAACGGAAGCGCGCGTACAATAGGACAGACATTATCATGTGTTTATCTATATATATATAATGTATAGTGAGGAATTAGACATGAAATTGGTAGTTATCCTACCAGGTACAAATAGTATCCGATGTAGCAAGAGAGATCGGGTACAATTCAAGAGGTAAACTTGTACAGTATGGAGAATCAATAAGGTCATTGACAATATTATACACAAAGGATTGCATTCTCAAGTTCAAAACTTCAAGCTTGTGGAATGTAACATTATATTCATAAAAGGAAAAATTTCTTATTTTGTTGAAACGAAGATTCAATAAGTACATTTATTAGTTTATGCTGCACTCTCACAATTCTATTCATCTTATCCTTATATAGGAAGGATTCCATACTATAGAGGCGTACTCTAGGTGGCTTCGTACGATAGAATTTTATAGCGTTATGATATTGTTTCAGAGCGAAAAATGGGTTTGAAAACTCTAAAAATGGAACAGGAGTTTCGTAGTGCTCTTTGAACGATAGTCATCATATAAGAGTCAAAATTTGATTGTTTGTCAAGAATAACCCCTAAGTCTTTGATAGAGTTAAAGTTATTTATTGATTGTCCATTTAGTGTAAGATCAATATGAGGTGACATTTTGCTTCTGGTAAATACGATTTTATGACTTGTTAAGTTCACAACACTTGAAGAAACTCTCAAGGTCAGTTTGAAGCATATTATAGTCTTTTATGTTGGAGATCGCTCCGTAGACCTAGAGGTTATCTACGTTTATTCGTGTTTTCAAAGCTTTCATAAATATTATTTATAAATATATTGAACAGGAGAGGATCAAGATGTGACCCTCGCGGAACACCAGAAGTGACTGACAATGATAAAGATCTACAATCATTCACAACGACATATTGCTTACGAATTTCGATATAGGACGCGAATAACTTCAATGAATGTTCATGCACACCGAAATTACGAAGCTAAAACGCAAGTGTAGGATGATGTACCTTGTCAAAAGCTTTCGAAAAGTAGGTGTGCACAACGCAGGTTGAAATTCCTTTTTCCATATTTGCATAGATTTCTTGTACGTATGGTATTGAATTAGGGAGCGTTGATCTTGTTTTTATGGAAACCATGTTGCCAGGTATTCATAGCATGTTCCAATTGAAAATATTAGTTTCTAGACAAGATTGATTCAATATATTCGAAGAAATTGCCTCGGTATGGACACTATCCATTGTCTAATTCACATTCGATACTGAATTAAGTTTCTATAGCTATCCAAGATAGGACCAGGGCAATCAGACTCTGAACACTCTGACCCACTTTGATGCACAACCCTGACACACTCTGTGCTATTCGAGAAAACGGCCGTCTCCCTTCCAGGTGTTTATATTGAGTTCATTGTCTCTGCCAGCGTGTTTTGCTCAGCACACTTGCCTCTATCAGCCTGCGCGTTTCACTTAACTCCAAGGATCATAGAAATGAACTTCAAACATATTTTGACTCAAGACATGAAATCCTATCTCAAATTTTCATGCAATATCAATGATATCCTATGTCCGAAGTATGAATAGACGGTAACATTTATGATGAGATCGATTCAATTCAATGTTTTTCTCAGAAATGAATCAGATCGATATTTCTCTTCGATTTCTAAATTGCCAAATACTTAATTGACCTGACGGTAGCCGTGCAGACAGAATGTCAGTATTCCAATCCGCATTCGCTTTCCGGTCGTGTGCTCAATTCCCCGCGACTGCAGAAATTTTTCTGATGGCCCAAGAAAGTGTTTAGGATGACATGTTGAAAAATAAGGCCCCCGTCATTCCTTGTTCGCACAAGACTCTCGAAGACTTCTGAGGGTTGCTCGTAAGGGGGCAACCGAATGACGGATAAAACCATAAAAAAATTCTCTTTCAAAGATAGCGTAACCCGCACGGCCCGCATACGCTACGCTAACTTTCATGAATCGGCCCGCCTTGCCTTCTTTATGAATTGGCTCGTCTCTCCTCGCATGCTGCATATTTCAGGCCGACTGTGCGGACTGGACCAAGGTCAGCACGGGTAGTCCCGACTATTGCAGTGCTCTAGTTGGCTCTAGTATGCATCAATAGCTTGTCATAAAATTACAATCGACATACATGGTGAGACATATTTCGATTTGATTTGATATTTCGAAGATAATCATTTGATAAAATTGAATTTGATGCAGTTTGGAATCATGAAGTTCTTGAACAAATTTTGTGTTTCAGGGTGATGTCGTTTCTTTGAACTGAATAAAGGTACCGTTGCGAATAAGTATATATTATATAAAATTAGTTTAGAACTTACCTAAAATCTGTTATTCTTTCATTCTCTACTCCCAATAATGTACTGTTCATCATTCTGATGGTGACGTTGATTCCTGCCACATCAACATGATAGGTGAAAGGAGAATCAATGTGTACTGAAATGAAAAAAGGAAACATGTTTATTTCATATTGAATTTCAATCCCGTTGTGCGGCACTGTATTAGCCTCATAGAAATCTATCAATTTTGATGTGAAAATAACTCAAAATCATGAGACTATTTCTCAAAATATCGCTTTCTTTATCTAAACACCAAAGAAGATTCAGTGTTAAACGTCTACTTGTATCTCGTACACAGGTAACACAGTTACGTCTGATTGACATAATTTTCCAGTCATAGAATGACGAAGTGGACGTCTTCAAATGGAGCCTGAGAGACCCTTTAATGACGTCAAAATGTCACAGCCACATGACGTCATAGTCATCAGTCAAAATGCCGCTCCGGGTAGTCCTGTTTAATCCTGGCGCTAACATTAGTAGACAGTGCAGCTCTATTCGAGACATTTATTCGTTACTCATTTTTATATCTAAAATTATGTAGCAGGCGTCGGTGAGATGTAATGTGACAAAAGTTTGCTAATAGAGCCTCACGTTATATAGAAAAACGAATATACAAACTCAAATTCAGTACAACAGACGTTGAAAAGGTATAAGATAACGACAATTTTTTCATTTGATCGACCAGAAGAATATATAAGACAATATGTAGAGACGTCATTCAGTAAGACCTCCAGTATTATAAGTCGATAAGTCGTAATTTGTAGGTCATATTTTGGCCAATGACGTCGTGGATAAAACATTACGTGAAATCAACGTTTGGGTAGTTATAGACAGGCATGCAGAGCGCGTAGTTACCAACGTATATACTTATAGCGTTGATCAAGGTATATATTACCGATTCTTTGTTCACATAGCACATAGGGCAAAGAAGGGGAAAGGTTAGTGACTAAGCATATCAACAATAGTGATAGGGATTATATATTTCTCTCTATAGAAGTCCATATTCCACTGTGTTTGGCTCGGTATTCAAATGAAGAGAAATAATATCGTTGTGTGAGACAACACAGTATTGCTGGCCGTGATGAATCAAGAACAAGTTAACCAGTCAATCAATTAGATTCGAAGAATAACGAATTCGATACAGATCACGCAAGTTTGTGGATCTTGATGGGTTCAATGATCAAAATGAGAATACTCAACTTTAATATGGTGTATTCATATCTCCAACATGAGTATGAAATGCTGAATATGCAGAAAACGGGAACAAATCAGGCTTGTCCCAACCCAAACAACCAACCATAACAATGTTGTTTAGTCTAGATGACCTAGTCGTACGTCATTTTTATTTCCTACTACTTCCTACTACTTTAGCCCCTAGGAGCTGAAAGTGTTGATATGTTTGTGTCAGTAATAGAAACGTCAATTCGAGAGCTAATTTTGGTATTGAAATGGACGACTTTTGTGTCGGTTGCAGAATATAGATATTCGTCACTTTGAAGTATCTGTCAAACAATAATATGATAACATATCAGCGACAAAATTCACGAGATAGGCTCGTTCGATATATAAGTGGAAAATGGCTGATTGAAATGAATATATCGGATATTTCTCACATGCCAAAATTTGTCATTTTGGTGATTCCAACCAATAGATTCTAGCCAATCATTTGGCATCATTTACTGCGAAACGGCTTCTCCTCGTTTACACTGTTCTGTTAAAATAGATTAGACTTATTTTGTGTCTGCCATCTTCTAACTTTCGACCTATCTGATGTGTGAAAGCAACAATCAAATCAATTTTCAATTCTTCGAGAGAACATAACCTAGCCTAGCGTACACTACAGACAAAACAGTGTGTCTGTGTAGTAGTGTATTATCGATATATAACGTAACGATTTTAATCGCTACCTATATACAACATTATATACCGGGTGAGTCATTGAAATGGAAAAGTGAGATAACGACTTCGCTGTTTGACATAGATGAATAAAAATGTTTGTGATGGTCTAGGCTCATGATGAGCATATTTCTAAATTACTTTGCGTATACAGGGTGACTCAAATATGCGTGGCGTATGTGAGCTGATTTCATCAATGCATCACACTTGGGTCTAGCAAGAATGATTACAGAGGTAGGTATAGGCGGTGTGCGAAATCGAGATATTTCAACTTTAGGATTTTTTTTGGTCGGAACTATTTATTATTGGTCAAAACGGCATATACATTTCCCTATCTTAACTTTTGATTCACTATCTACTGATATTTAATTTGGACAAATACAGGGTAGTTCAAAATTCAGAATTATGAACCACCCTGTATTCATTCAAATTAAATATCTGTAGATAGTAAATCAAAAGTTAAGATAGGGACATGTATGCCGTTTTGACCAATAATGTATAGTTTCGACCCAAAAAAATCCTAAAGTTGAAATATCTCGATCTTGCACACCCTATATCTCTGTAATCATTCTTGCCAGACCCAAGTGTGATGCATTCATGAAATCAGCTCACAAAGGAGAATCCGAAAATGCAATAAAATACAGGGTGTCTCATAAGAAAAAGTATAACTCTGATACGTCACGCATTGTTGAGTCACCCTGTATAAAGCGAAATATTTTGGAAATGTGCTGCTCATGAGCCTAGATCATCACAACAATTTTTGTCCATCTATCTCAAACAGCAAAGGTGGTATCTCACTTTCCCATTTCAATGACTCACCCTGTATAAGATTATTTTATCATCAACAACCAATTCCGTTGTTCTTTCCTGCAGAACCCTCTGCAAACAGGTTGTAGTGTTGAATAATCCGTTAGAAAAGTCAGGCAAGTAAACGTACACAAAAGAACATTTCCGAAATATAAAACTGCACTATCATTCTACAGTGTTTTCGTGCCTACCTACTTAAATTTGGTAAATGAATTACCTGGGATCAGCATGTTAGATCCGTTCGAATGACATTTTTTATATATTTTCCAATATTTTCAATACCTTCTTGACAGTTTTCTAAATTTATTTTGGAGATCATTTTTGGAACTGATATCCTTAGAGTCCATAGTTCATTTGAATTTTTTGAAATTAAATCATCCCAGTCCAGTTTATATTTTTTTAATTTTCAGCTTATTTCCATGGATCTCTATGGAAATGAGCCATTACCCAAACGTGGATCACTTTGTATATTCAATTATTTCTTATGAATGTGGCAAATTGAATTGAAAAAAATATACATGTGACTGAAAATTCCTCAGAAATCGATATAGTTTGACTTAAAATGAATCAATTCAGTACTTTACGGAAGCACTGTATATCAGATATAGAAATTCACAATTGAAAACATACTTTCTTTTGAAATAACTCAAACTAGGTTGCCTCGAACATCTCATTACACGCCCTTCAAAGAGTGTGGACACGCTTGTCACCAAAGACATTTCCGCATCGTCATCATTCACAGATTTGAAACGTAAGTTCTAAAAGGTTTTCGAATATATTTTGTTCAACGAATTCTGAGTATACCATTTGTTTGAGTTGCCCATGCAAAGACGACATTTCTAGTGTTCGTTGAAGCTTCAGATTGCAATATTCCGTAGAAATACATTCATTGACAATATGTTGATATAACTATACACAATGAGCCTCATGTGCCATTGATATTACGCCAATGTTAGGGTTTCACATATGAGTGCATTCGTTCAATGAAGAGGTATAGAAAAATGACATTCCATCTCTTATAATAGTTATTTATGTAATAGGGATCATAAAGACGATCATTATGGTACAAGTCGTGAATGTTATCGGGCGAGGCGTAGCCGAGTCCGATAACACGCGGCGTGTGCCATAATGATTGTTTATGATTCGTATTACATACAAAATTTTATCTGATGGCATTTATATCAATACATTTTCGAAAAATTAAAAACTGCATTTTCGACATGTCACAATGACAACTATTTTTAAAGGAGTAAGTATTGTGTAGTTTCAAATATTAGTAGGTGAGTGAGCTGTGCTTTGCCATTATATTAATATTACAAATTGTAGTAATTGTTCTTTTACCATTTATAATAAATAGTTTTGTACATATATATAGTTATGCATTTTGAATAAACTTTTTTGATCAAACCATTACCATGTTTTCCTTATAGAATTTCATTATGGTACTTAGTCCCATAATGAGCTTCCTTATGTCATCAAAATTGAGTGACATAACGTTGTCATTATGACATGCCATCAGATAAAACATATTTATCTACAACCATGGAGTCATTCATACATTGTTAACTCGATTTTCAACATATAGACACACATCGTTGTGATGAATCGAGTTATAAGAGTAATAATGACAGTAGTATGGCGTGATAATCAGACATCCCATCGTCTTGTCAAATTCAAATAGGTAGGAATTCGTTCTAGTAGTTCTACTAAAGCACACCACTATAATACTACTGTTTGTGAAATACACGCTTCACGATTCAAAAGACTCACCTTACATGGTTCTCATAGTTTTACACGGAAAAATGAGAATTCACTGTTATTCGTTCTCAACAGTGACTATACCATCATGAGTAACCATAATCATAAAGTACTTAGGACATTACACTTGACAGTTGCAGATTGGCTCACGCTTATGTGCGGGCTATTCGAATAGATTAGTACAGACCAATCAGAACCATGGAGCTTCATTGTTGATAACTAGCGTCTAGAGACAAGGTACTACAATTATATTGATCATCGCGGTGGGGGAATGCTACAGCCACAGCCGTCTTCAAATTGAAGACGACTGTGCTACAGCGAAAGCAAGTTAATGAATAATCTACAATAGTATATGATTATCATTTCACAATTGAAAAGTGAAATGGCATTTAATACCTGGTAAGATTGACTGATATGTAATTGCACGGCTTTTTTCTTGTTAATAAAAGTTAGATCCAACATTGTTTATCATATTTTCACAATCAAAATTATTGGAATAAGTTTATAGGCTGTTCGTTGATTGAAATTTTTGTCAATGAGTTTTCGGTGACATTGATGAGTATTTCAAATCATATTTAGATGATGATTACAGCACTCGCTTTCGGCTCATACTGTAACTTCCATCTTCGTGGGTAATAGCCATCATTATATGCGCTCGTTAAATAACATACTATTGTGAGTCATGTTTTTCGTTCAGCTGTTTCAAAACATGACAAGTGTGTCCACGCTCTGTAAAGAGCGTGAAATGAGATGTTCGAGACACTATAGTTCGAACCATTCGGTTTCTCAGAGTAAATAGGCTAATCTATCAGTATTTCAGTTACTGAACCCGAAACGATCCAACAAAATTTTTGAAAATTTTTGTCGAAAAATATTGATTCTATAGACAGAAAATATAATGTTAATTCATTGTAAACTATCGAATTATAGGAACTCACATTCTTTTTGACATCTTATAAATGGTAAGAAGCACAGAACTGAGATCACATACAAATCTCGAAAATACATATTTCTTGACTAATTATCTGAATTCCGATGTGGGTGTAGTAAGCACTTATATAGGCCAATGATTTGAAACATTGTACTATATAGGAAGGATATGGGTGAGTAACCGATTTAAAATTATTATAATTTATGATGATACATAATTATCTGTAATTTGATTGAAATGCATTTCCCTATAAACAAGTGGTTCCATATTGAGTAGAAATACAGGGTGACCGGTTATAGGCGCCAAACTCAAGAAAGACGAAATATAAATTCGTATTAATCAGACCTCGAAGTTATAGACATATAATCAGATCGCGTGCTGATTGGCGTACTGTGATTGTATCTAGGGACCTGCTCTTCTACAAACTGATTCTACACGTGTGCAAAAAATTCAAAATAGCTGTGTTCGTTTTTCATATGGTATCCGCAAATATGAACACATTAGTGATGCCTTTCATGACTCTGGATGGCTGAAACTGAAACACACGTGGGAAATACACCTACTCACTTTCACCCACAAAATTTTGACATCTGGTTCACCGCCATATTTACGTAATAAACTTTCTAAACTATCACTTAAAAAGTCTTCGCGCAACAAGCATTTGCTACTTATTCCTAGACATACCAAGTCAATTTTCACCCGAAGCTTTTCCTATAATGCTGCTAAGCTCTACAATACTATCCCTGTTGCATTCAAGTTGAATAATTTTAAGAAACGGCTGAAATTGTTTTTCTCTGGGCGGCAGTAGTTTTTCCTTTTTTATGACGGCGTGATTTTTGATCTGGTTGTAACTATCTTATTCAGTACATTAAACTGTATTATATACTTATACACTATTACACTTATACATTTATACTAATTTTCTGGTAATTATTCCGATAACCTATGTACAATTCTTAATCATAAATTCATTTTGAAAATTCTGTTATTTAGTTTCTTATTAATTATATTTATATCATTCTACCGGTTGGGTTTGAAAGCAGCTTCTTAGCTGAACCCCGCCCTTTCATCTATTTGTTTCTTTCTCTACCAGTTGTGAAATGATGATGAATAAAGACATATTACTATTATTATTATTATTATTATTATTATTATTATTATTCAAGACAATATATACAGTGTGTCTTGCTTTTCATGAATAAACCTTGACATCTCAGTTATTATTGATGCGATTTTCTTGAAATTCTGGTGGTGATTGTATGATAGAACAATGAAGTATTCAGCAGAGTGAACAGTTTCATTCACAATTGACGGGTACTTTTTTGTACCTTTATTCGGGAAAAGGCTATATCAGGGCTTATTCTACAAACCTTCTTCATTAGATTCAGAATCAGCATCGATTTTCTCGAAATTTTGATGGTCATTGTATGTTATTTTTCGAACATACAATCACCTTCACAATTTCAAGAAAATCGCATCATCAATAACAGGGATTTTATGAAAAGCAGGATTTTTAAATAATAATTTTAGTGCTCTTGGGATCTTCAAGATATAAATTGGGGGTTTTTGGAAATCTGGTAGAAAAAGTTATCTAAAATGAGCCCTGATATGCTTTTCCCCAATAAAGTCCTTTTTTGTACCCCTCAACATCACACGTCAATGGTGAATAAAAATGTTTACTATATATGTCGAATACTTCATTGTTCTAACATACAATCACCATGAGAATTTTGTGCAAATCGCATATCATTCATAAATGAGATATTAGATCGATAGATGGCGCTGAAATTAAGAAGGGTCACATTTGGAAAAATAGGTGGTCAACAAACATTTCTCAAAAGGATCCAATGTGGCTTCTGAAAATTCATATTTCATGAAACCGAATCATCAATCTGAGATATCTGTGATGATGAGCTATTGCTGATCAACATCATTATTTATAAAAACCCAAAAACACACTCAATCCTTTTTCTTTTGATATACACATTTCTGTCCCCAATTCTTTCTGGATTTTCAAGTTATTACTTGGAATATTTTCACTGATGTTTTCTAAACATAACTCGAGTGCTACTAGAAATTAGTGGATATATACCTATAGGCGCACATTTTCGATTCGGGTTAATATTGTGTATTGTGTTTTTCCAGGATACTTCCTCTGCAATATTTTTTGGGATTATGATTGATGATTTGGCATCTTCACTAGTGCGCCTTTGCAACAAAACTCAAGAATCACCTATCCTATAATAAACAGGTATGTAGGTTCATCTCAAATCCAGATTCATCCATGAGAACAGTTACCTACGTTTTTTTCAACCTCTATGATTATTGGGTTTACACTTGTTGACTTTGATTCTTCATAAGGGTCCCACTCATGCAATTATCGCAATAATACATAGATATGTTTTTTTTACTATAGGATGTTACTCAATGAAAATCCATAGCAATTGTAAAAACTCCACAAACGAAGAGATTTCCACACATTCCTAATCACACGACATGTTTCGCTAACACAGTAGCTTCATCAGGTGAAATACTGGTATATATAATATACAATGAAATGAACTGAATTTGGCTTGATTCTACTTTTCCAACCTTTGAAGATTAAAACTATGCCTGTGAAATATTAACTTCATTACTACATGAACAGGACTTGAAAGTACAATGTAGAATGAATAACACGTTGGAAAGGTTCATCAATAATAATGAAGACAGAACTTCTAAATTCGAAAAATCAGGAGAATACGAACTCAACTGTGGATCTTGCCCTAAGGTATATATATCGGTATAAGACACGTCGTACGTTTAATCAGCGCATTCATCAACATATGAGATGAATTTTTTGAAAAAGAAAATAAATTCAACATACGCCAACCATATATTAGAAAAAAAATATAGTTTTGATGATAATTTCGGAATTCTACACTTAGAAGAGGAATAAAACTCAATCATTTTGAATCATTAGAAATCAACAAACTAAAAAATTCTAACATTTTACTCAACGATCAACAAGAGCCCAATAGTTCACGACTGTTGAATTTGTTTTCTTAGTAGGTAATAATATGTATTTGCTATCAACCCTTTCGAATTAATCCGTTACACCATATTTTAATGTAGATATCATGCCTATTTCCTGAAAATTAAGGTTTATCGAACCTTCCTACAGGTACTTCTAATTCTTCAGGTTAGGAAAGTCGGATATATACAAGTTTAGGCAAGCCAAGGTTAGTTTATTTTATTGTACCAGTATTTCACCTGATAAAGCTACTGTGTTAGCGAAACATGTCGTGTGATTAGGAACTTTGTAGAAATCTCATCGTTTGTGAAGTTATTACAATAGATATGTTAAGCCACATATTGGATTCAAAGTAATCCTGCCTTCTATCTTATTTCGCTAACATATTTCCCACACACTTTTTCTTCCCAATCCTTTGATTTCAAATCTATCAAAGTGTTTCTTCAAGAGTAGTTGAGAAATATAGGACAATTATTTCGATATGTTTAGTAACATATATATACAATGAATACATCCCAAACGAGATATGAAGATATTCGCTTTCCAGTAAACACATACTCATTTATAAAATGTTGAATATCGGTTGGAATAGAGGAAATAACGTTACTGGTTCAAAATTTCAATTTAAAAATTTGATTGAATAAAACCGAGAAATCAACACGTTATTTAGCCGTCTTATTGAATACTTTGTTATGATTAGCAACCACTATGAAATGTTCAAACTAAACGTTGATTCATTCATGCAAAAACACGTCATTATATCTCAATGAAATGACACCTTCACAACCTGTGATTTTTTTTGATATTCTGGTTTCCACGAAAACGGATATCCTGTAATGTTCAGAGAACATCGTGAGAACCAAGGGAAATGAGGTAAGAATTGGTGTTCTTAAGTTTCTGGAGGTTATATGCCTCGGGGAACACCTCCCTTGGCAATGTGTTCCAGAGCCTCGCTGTTCGTTGGATGAACTAGTTTTCGGAAAGAGATGTTCTGCAGGTATCCAAATTGACCACGAAGGGTTGCGAAGCCTCAACTCAAATATATTTGCTAGAAATATCTTTTCTCTCCAGGAAATACTTATACAATCACTGCTATATGATGTGATAATTCTACGTTCGATATACTGAACGTGGTCGAGTTTGTATATGCGCTGAAATTCAGCACCTCGATGCGCTAGAAATGGTTCGAAAGTCACCATAAGCTGTAGGTCCCGCTCTTCCTAACCCAGCAGAAGTTTTGACTTCTGGGGAGTTGGTTTCCAATATTGAAGTAGCGATATTCAAATTTTACAAATAAAAAAAATAGTACTCTCCATTGTGAGTATGATAACTGCCTGAAATTCTTCTACAGTAGGCTGTGCAAAATATTAATCGGAGTCATTTACTAAAGCTGAAGAAGTGCAATATGAATCTTATTCGTCATAATAACAAAAATCGTATTAGTTATTCAAAAGGCGAAAGTAATAAAATCTTAATTTTTTCCATAACTACATTTAATTTTTTCGTCAAATATTTTGAACAGCCTATACTAGAATCAACCAACATGGTCAGGCAGTCATTATGCATAATATTTATCGAATACACATCTCCAAATTCATGTGTTTTGGGTACCAATAGCTTGGTTTATTTGAACTTTGGCTCTCTTTTCATAATGGAAATGGAGCATTTGAAGAAAAAATGTGATTTTTATTAAATAATTGAGATTTCCAATGTTCTACATTCACATTCTGGACGCACTTTTTTGCGCACCCTGTAAGTTATCCAGTAGTTGTTATTATGGTCAGGGGTCCGTTGAACCTTCAATAATCACGATTCAATCATTGCACATCACTAAAAATTGCAATTAATTTGTCATGCACATCTTTTAGAAACACTCGATTAACTCAGAAACAGATTCACCAATTGAGGAAGACAAAGATAACGTTACGGCTGGACAAACCAGAAGCTTCACGATGACGAGGATCTTCCGGTCGGATTCACCAAGTTTCCTCTCCGCTGTTCCTACAAATTAAAAAAAAATGCTTTTTCTGTCGACCTTATCCAAAAAAATCACATTTAACGTTCTATTTCCGGAACGAAATATCGACTATTCCTGAAGGCAAGTACTTTTCATCCGCAAACACTTTTCTTCCGCTGCAAGGTTGCCAGTTCTACTGAATTTTCGGTAGATCTCCTGACACTCATTCATAATTATAATCACCTAGATTATTGATTATCTCTGGTTGATCACTGACGCTTATTAATTACATGATATTTCGGCATAATCTGATCAAATCAATTTCACAGAATACGTAATAAATGTACATATAGTAGG